CCCCCCACACACACACAAAAGAGAAACCTAAAGGCTCAAGTCCTGTTAGAAACAGAACAACTCAGCTCCTGAGCGATATGAGGTCTGTGCAGAACCATGGATTAATCCCTCAGAGAGGATGCAGTCTACACAGCTTTGGTTCCTTTCAGTAAGCATAGACATGAAAGAATTGTTCTGAAGTACACGGAGAAGGGTTTGTATAGTGCATACTTAAAATTTCCTTAAAACACTTAATTGTGTTCCTTTTTTTTTTTTTTTTTCCCCCCCTTTCCCCCTCATGTCCCTAATGCAAGCCTGCAACAGTGGTAGTGGTCTATTCTCTGTAGGGGCCTGACTATAGTGCACCCGCTATATGATACAAGTCCCAAACCAGTATGTTGTTTAATCATTAAAGCACGTAAACTGACTGACTCCACTAAAAGAAGCGAGCAAGCAGGACTGACGCACTGAAAGCTAATGCTACATTTTGGTGCTCTGACTGGCTTGGCCTCCAAATTACAGTATTCCTGAATGGTTCCTGCAGTCTGTTCTCACCATTAGTATTTGGAACCCTAAAGCCAAATGCAGACAAAGGTAGCGTTTTAGTTATTTCTTTTTTTTATAATCATTTAGTAAAACTTGTATAAACTCTGACAGTTGTGTTTTACCACTCGCTCACCATAAAATGGTTTATCGTAGTACTCCACTTTGGGCTAAGTGAAAGGCAAGCTGCCTGTCTGGTTCCCTTTCCCCATCCTAGGTAAGACCTCTACTTTTCAATTTAAGGGCAAAATATTGATAGCCTAGGATAATGTTTTTCATCATGATACATAAAATAGAAATCTATAGGATTAAACAAGTTAAAGAGGAATTCTGCCCAGTTGAATAGCATTAGGATCAGGATTGATGATGAAAGGCAGCTAAATGGCAGTAGAAGTCTCAAGAGGATAAATAAATATCTAGGTCAACTATTTTACAAAAATAGAGTGGACATGACAGCACTAACAAGTTTGAAAACTCGATGGGTTTTGCAATGCGAACTGAAGCAATTCTTGCTGGTAGCCTTAGACGGGTATAAAACTGATGAGTGCTTCATAAGCGTACTTTTAATGTAAACATGTATCTCAAGTCACCCATCCTGTTATGGCCAATAGCTATTGGAATGCGATGTAACACACATAGTGGAAAGCAGTACTTTTGACTTCCTTTAGAATTATTGTGCGTTCTTCATAGCTGCTATGTGTAAGAGGTTTTGTTTCAAGTCTTTCACTAAAGTAGAATTTATCCAGTAACATGGCATCTAAGAATACCATTTGATGTGCCTGCAAACCATTGCAGTACAAGGATGGTCCGACACACTTGGTAGGCAGTCCCATGCGAATCTGTCATATGTAAAAAACAACTTGCTTTTAGAAAAAGCAGCATGTTGTAATTATACACCTGCATATTCTAGGTTAGAGCTGGAGTGCTAATAAGCTGTGCAAAGTAATTAGACAGTCTTTGCTGAACTGTTCTCTGAGTTTTGTTTTGGTTTTTTGGGGGTGGGGAGGTGCGGACGCACAGTTCCCAAACTGCTCCCTTCCTCTATTTGTTCTCCAGGGCAGTGAAGTGGGATGTGTCCTCTCTGTGTTACTGGTCCTTGCAGAACCAGGCTTAGTTGAAAGCTGTCATATGTCTAGAAGGCCTTCTATCCTGAGGGCTACAAGTGGGGCAGAGCATTGGTACAGCTTTCTTTGCAAATACCAGAGATG